TATTTATTCTTTCCCATGGGTTTGTTTGAGATTTTTTTGGTAAATAGTATTATAGAATGTACGAACTGGTTCTTAGTTGCCAAAAGCAGTAAGAGGCTTGTATTGGTTACACAGTAGAATAAATATGTATAAAGAAGAGCTGCTTTACCTGGGAAGCTAAGAGCACAATGGATTAGAGTGATGTAATCGTCACTAAGTCTCCTTGTGTGTAGTAACTTCCTTAGTTCCTATGTTATAAACTCTGATTTTTAGCTACCTGTGCACTAATACGCTATGTAGACTGGTCCTGGATACTGACTTCATTAATTTCTGCCACTGAAATTCTTATGTGATTACCCTCTTGTTGCAACGGGAGTTGTACCCTATATAGACCTCAGTAACACTGACTTCTTTGGAGCTGTCTGAAAAGCTTTATGTGAAGCTGTGAGTTTTAGGATTCCCAGAGTGAAAGTATGAAATCAGTTTTTCCATTTTATCTCAGTTACTTGCTGGGATTTTGTCCTGGAATGTAAGAGAGTGCTAAGGTGTAACTTCTGTCCTCTTCCCTTTTGTAAATCCCCAGAAATCCTGGGGAGATAATTAACAGCATGGTAAACTGGAAACTTTTTGTTTGTGGGCAAAGGTACTAAAGCCATCCGTCCTGGGAGGTGATGCATTCTAAACTCAGGTTCTTGGTAATGGTCTGTCAACAGAAGGATTCTAAAAGTTTCATCTGCTTCCTGAGACAGGAGAGAGGTATTCCCTTGTGACGCTGTTAATGGTACATCAGGGGTGTAATTTGAACTAATGGTATGATTTATTTTCTGCTGAAAATGTTCTATTTGCACAAAAGTTGCCATAGGAGATTCCAACTAGTTGTGCAAATTCTCTTAAACTTACTCAAGATCTTTGCTTTTAAGCTGCGTGTAGTGCTGGCTACACAGCGGTTACAGTTAGACCAAGAAGCTACCTTTAGCAGAAGGGATCCAAAATCCTTAAAAACTTACTGGAAACTCCTCCTGGACTTGATCCTGGTTACTACTACTTAACTACCCAAGTGTTTGAGAAATACAATTAACTTAGTCATACGTCATGTATGAGCCACTGAGTAACCTGTGTATTATCACTAGTACGTTGGTATTTCCACATACGCTCTGTAGATTAATTTATATAAATCTTGTAAATAAGAACTATACACAAAAGTTTATTTTTGAAAGTATGAAAAAAATGAGAAAAATACTTTTCACCAAATATCTTAGAACCACTAGGAGTTGAATTTTTGGAATTCTAAAAATATTCATGATTTCACATCATTTTCCTCACAGCCCTGTATTTTTTAAGAGTAATTATTTTCTCAAAATAGCTGTAGTGCTTCAACAGAGGACCTAATCAAACAGTACATTCTTAATCATGGACTGCAGAAGAAAACATTGGAGGAAGAGAAATATGAGTGGGATCTTTCAAGATCTTTTGATCTTGAAAAGTATGTTTTGGTCCACTCTGCCAGCCTGTACGGCAAGGATGAGTGGTGAATCACTCTGGGGGGATGTCTGCCACTGGTGCTCAGCTGGCACCACCATGTCCTGCCCCAGCACAGGGACCTGTAGGGATGGAGCACCTCTCCTATGAAGACAGGCTGAGGAAGCTGGGATTGTTCAGCCTGGAGAAGAGAAGGCTCCGGGGAGACCTTATAACGACCTTTCAATATCTGAAGGGTGCCTATAGAAGAGCTGGGGAGAGACTCTTTGCCAGGAAGGGTAATGATAGGACAAGGGGAAACGGTTTTAAATTGGAAGAAAAAAGATTCAGATTAGATCTCAGGAAGAAATTCTTTACTATGAGGGTGGTGAGGCACTGGCACAGGTTGCCCAGGGAAGTTGTGTCTGCCCCATCCCTGGAAGTGTTCAAGGCCAGGCTGGATGGGGCCTTGAGCAACCTGGTCTGGTGGGAGGTGTCCCTGCCCATGGCAGGGGGGTTGGAACTGGATGATCTTTGAGGTCCCTTCCAACCCAAACCATTCTATGATTCTATGACCTGCTGAGTGCGGCACAACCCGCCAGCATGCCCAGCACCCCACACCATCCTCCCTGTACCAGACCATCCTCCCAGCAGCGTGGCTGCCTCAGTTTCCCTTCTGCCACCGTGCCGTCTAAAGCTCTCCTGTGTGCCTGTAGTGAATACGCTCTACAGATATATATGCTAATATTTTTCTGATCTTTTTTAAGGAGTGAGTCTGAGGGGATTTCTGCTACTGATCTCCAAAATCCTGTATTGCTGGTCGCATGTCTGTTGTGACCAAACAAGTAGATGCTTGTATTGGAGAAAAGCAAAAAAGCACACAGACTGCTCTTAATGAGAAAATACCGGACACTGAAGAATTAAAGATGAACTCTTTTTGCATGACTGTAGTTTTTTGAAGTTCATCAGCTCCATGATATTATTAAATGGCAGTTTGAACAGACATATTAAGAACTTTACATTAAAATCCTCTTTCTTAAAAGAAAAAGAACCCAACCATTCTTTATTCTGTCATACTAGGATTTAGTATTCTAGAGGAAAACTTTGATTTTTTTTATTATTTTTTTTTTCCCCGCTAGGGCATTTATAGATTAAGTCAATGTTCTGAAGTTTATCCAGAAGATCTTATTGTAAATAATTCTGTCTTCCCCACTTATATTAATTGCAATTTAAATATTTTTATATGCCAAAATAGATGGAGCAGAAATAATCTTTTCTCAAAAAAGTAGATTTAAAAGTTCTATATTTTTCTAAAATAATCTAATAATAGTGGTTTAGGTATTAGTATTAATTTTATGTACAAATTTGAAGGCAGATTGTCAAAATATAATTAGAATGCTCTGTGCAACAAATTAAATACACTCTAGTAACATGGATGAAAAAAGCATCTGTTTTGAAGTACTTTCATTAGAAATTAGAAGACTTGAGTAGGGAAAATTAGATTTGTGTGAGATGAAATCAGAAAAAATGTAAGAATGTTAGCTTCAAAGAATAGTAAAATACCTATGGACTGTGGAACAAGCAAAGTATTGGCTAGAGTTTATAATAAATCATATAAATAAATGAAAATCTGTGATTTCTAAAAATATGTGTATATCTACTAAATATATTTGAATCATTATAGTTACAGTATTCTTAAAGCCTAATGAAAATTACTGGTTGTAATAATTCCTTCCCCTTGTTGCGTTTTGCTCAGCTGGATGAGTGCCTCTGTGCCTTCAGTTCACTCTGTAGTAGAGCAAGTTTTGAAGCATTGATGGTGTTAAATGCATCCATATTCCAATGTACACATTCCTGGTGCGAGGTGTGCTGAGAGGTCCTCTTTATCTACTAGCCTGAAAATAATACTTGCTGTTAGGTTCTCAATAGGTATATGGTCATTTAACAGCTTCCAGTTGTGGATTTTTTTGTCAGGCTGAGAGAGATAGACATCAATATAGTCAGCTATATGCTATCTTTAAAAAAGGGAAAAAAATGGGGTTTTAGTTTGTTTTGTCTTTCAGATTAGTAGTGGATGGCTGGAAAAAAGCAAGCACCTCCAAATTCTGTTAGTTAAGGGTGTGTTATTTTCTGGGAAGGTGAGAAGCATAATATTTCATGAGATTTCCAGTGCTCTCAGTCTTAACTAAATTGCATAAATTACAAGAATTATTTTTCTTCAGTATTTCCTGTATTTCCACTTCAACTGACAGCTGCAAGCAATAATCACAGAACTAGTTAATGACAGAAATTGTTTTAAACCGTTTTTTGAAAGAACTCTGGTAGCTGAATCTAAGTTGAGAATTGCTCTTATGATACCGAATGGAAAGCACACCTACTCCTTTCAATCAGTCTTACCCTTCCAAACGTATTTGACTCAGCTTTGTTGACTTACATTGCTTATAACAATGCGCGACTTCTAAAGTCTCACAAATCTTCCTGTAATGCAATATTTTTGAAATTGCATGATTCACAGATCCTGACAGCTTGAAGTATGTCAGTGTATGTCTATATATAATTGTGTGTGTGTATATGGAGGTATATCCACACATATCTGCTAAACTGATGTGTCACACCCTCCTCTTCCTGGTGGACTGTATTGCAGAAGTGCAGAAGTTTTTTTTTCCTATTATGAAAGTATAGATGTTTCTACCTCTAATCAATATTCAATCTGTATTCAGCTAAGGCTGCTAAAATATCATTTTAAGAAAGATGTCGAAATCGTAGGGCATTCTATTTAAGCTCATGTTAAAAAAAAAAAAGGAAATAAGCTTAAACTTCTGTCATTTGTTCCAAATGAACATGCATTGCAAAAGCGTTGTTTTAAATTGATTTGGTTATTTCTTTTACTTTTCTTTCTTTTTAAAACAATGGTTTTGTTACTTTTATTTGATTTTGTTCTTAATCCTGAATCCAGCTTATATACTAGAGAGTAGCTTATGTTTATGTATGCTCTCATTTGAGCAAAAAATACTGAAATCTCCACATGTATTAGTAATATTTTGGTTTCGGTTGCACCAGTGTTAATTTAAGTGATATAAGTGAGATCATACGTGGCTTAACATCTGTGTATGGGAGCTTTGCTGTCTGATTTATCTGCTGTGTTTGCTTGAGCAGCCAAAGCTGCGGAGATGAGAAGTTGGTAGGTGGGTGGTGAGGGTGGGTGGGTGGGTGGCTCCCGTTAGCAGCAGAGCCAACTAGGCAGGTTCTGCTCCAGAGAGATGGGGCTGAGAGGGAGAGAGAGGAGCTGGGTGAGAGACTGGGGAGCGCTGGGAATGCATAGGTCATCCACCACCTTCCCCATGTGATAAAAAGGGTGTTTGGGTTTTGGGAGATGTCTGTGTGTTGTTTTCTCGAATGTAAAATTGTACATGTTTATTGGGGCTCTTTCTGCTTTGAAGTCAAATGACAAGAAGTGCCCCTGCTTTACCTCACTGCTCTGGTTATGACTTTATTTCTGTTTTGAGATAAAAATCAAGGTTTAGTTCCAAAACCAGATACCACTCTCTCTCTCTTTCTTGTAGGCAGGGTGCTGCTGTGCCAGGCAAACCAGGAGGGATCTCCCGTGTACAGTGCCCCCAGTTCACTAGTATACACATCCACAAGTAAGCTAGTGTTATGGCTCTTTTGTTGTTTTGTTTTGTGACAAAAGCACATTAATGTGAAGTAAGCCCCCTAAAACTGTAAACTTTCCCAATAGCTCTTGTAAATGTGGTATTTATAAACATGTGTAAGTAATTTCAACAGGTAATTTAGTGTTTTTAGTTGCTCCTTTTTCCTCAAAGTGTATATATATATAATTTTTTTTATTTTTTTTTTATAAAAGTTGGCCTATATTGCAATGTTTTACAGAATTGGTCAAAAATTGTACAGTATCACTGACATTTTTTGGAATCCAGTACTGTTGCACACTCTGTGTTTTGTGTTGAGGATGAAGTTGTGTTTCTTTTTCCTTCCTGGCCACAACATTAATAAGCAAAAAATCTCATATCATGCTACCATTTGATTGTATCAGGAAGAAAATAGATATGAGGTCTTACAAAAGGAAAAAGACTGTGCAAATGGGTATCTTGAATTCTAAAAAGCTGCCCTAATAAAAGTAGCAAAGGCAAGCTAAAAGCATAGATGGCTATTGGCCATTTTTCTCTACAAAATCTTGGAGTAGCAATGTCTCCTGTAAAATTCTGCAGCAGAGGTGGAACTGATTCTTCTGAGAGTGTTTTAGATCATATTGGTGGTACCACTGATGCCCAGTCTGAAATCTAGTCAGATGAAGAAGCCTCTGTCTGAGCGAAACAGTAATTATTGCTGCTTGCTGAACGAGGGTGAAGAGCAGCATTTGCTATGTGTTCTTAGCAGCCCTCTGTAAAGAAAATATTTTGCATTGTCTGATTTAACATTATCAGATGTGCTGTTTATGAAGATTGTATTCAATCTAGACTGCTCTTTTAAAGCTTATCTAGACTACTAAAATAATTTCTTTTATTCATTAAAACCAGGAATGAGGTCAAAAGAGCTTCATAGTGATAATCTCTGCAGTCTTGTAACTCTCTTATGTCAAAGGCTATGAATATCATCCCTTGAGCTTTTACAGCATCAATATGGGATCTACTTTCAAATCAGGAGTCTACAAATGTGTAGTGAACTAACAAAATATATGAAGTGTTTTAAATTGGAAATGAAATAATGATATTATTCATATTATTTATACTATTTCAGTTTTCCCAAGCAATGGGTTTTTTTTAATCCTTGTAGTAACACAGAGATGAAATACTGTCTAAATCAATTGTCCCTGTAGTACATTTTTATCACACTATTCCTTTTGGACTGAAACACCAGTGTTTTGACTGAAATGCTAATCTCTGACTGAAATTCTTTTCTTAGAAAGTTATCCAAACATTTTGTTCATCTCATTGTTAGGGAGCTTCTTTTGGAGGAGAAGGGGCAGTGCTTGGTGTTCTATTTTCTGGAAATTACTGTAAATCCTTTCTTAAGTTTACCCTGTTGCTCCTATTACCTCACTGAGTTCTATCCTAGAAATTTATTTTTGGGGATGCTGTTTACATCGTACAGTATTTCCATTATTATTAAATCCCTAGATAGTCATTGTATAGCTAGCTAAGTTCTATACTTCACTGTTTCCATTATGTCTCATGAGTCAATCCCTTTGAAAAATCTTATTTTGCAGTGGTGCTCCTTGAATAATGATATCCTAACAAACACCTGTTTGTTTTCAATTATGCCAAATACATAAGTAAACAGACTTTGCTTATCTGCCTCCCACTGGGCAATGTGTAATACACAGTTTCATAAAAGAGATTGCTGGTAGCCCTTGCAGTAGAAATTGTTACACTTCTGTTGAATCTGTGTGTCTGCAAGTCATGATTTTTTTTTTTATTATGAATAGTATTTCATATTGCCAAAATGTAGTTTCCCCCACAGGGTCACAACTCCTAATAATGCAAAATCACTATGATTACAAATGATTGTAATTAGTTTTTTTATTTCTCTGTATTACAAAACTTTCAATAAAGTTGTAAAATAGTTACATTTCTATAGGAAATTCTACTAAGAAGTTAGTAGAAATGAGGCTCAAGTTTTGTCTCATTTTCTTCTTTTATTTTCAAGATCTTCTATACTCTACTTTTAATGCACATTTGTAATATTGAAATGATAACTGATAAGTCAACATTAATGTCTGGGAGACTGATACTTTTACTATTATCATTCCATGGAGACAATATTGCAGCCTTCATCTTTGAAAAATTTGTTAATTGTTTATTCTTTTACTCGCAGTATTGTAACAGTGTAATCTTTCAGAACAGCTTCCAATGTAAGAATTAAGAGCTTTTTAACTTGTACCTGTTTTAGCAGAAGGGAAAGAATCAGCTGAGATTTTTAAAGCTGTCTGAGAGGTTTGGAGTTCTTTAAATGCTAATGGCATTTAGGAATTCTCAGATACTTGGAAGAGGATAGTCCCCATTTTTAGAAATGTTGTTGTCTTTAACTTGACTGTTTGTGTTTTGACCCCGAGTTACATTCTATAAGAAATGAAGGACAGAAACATGGTTGTAAAATACATTTTTCTTAATTTTGCTAGCTAATTTCTTAACTTTTTAACTTTTAATTTTATTGATCACTGGTAGTCTCTGGTGACAGTATACTTCTACCACGTTTTTTTTGGATAGTCAGAAAGAAGAGTGCAATTGTTGGAGCTACTCTTTCCCTTCTGATGTTTTATGTCCCCAGGATATATTTTATGTATCACATTGTACATTTCCCAGTACAGTGATTAGTTACACCTCTGAATATGTCAGGAGATGGAAACATGGCGCTGCTTCCTTCCATCACTTCTGGCCCTTTGCATAATACAGAAAGAAATGAGCTGTTTCTTTTGCAAGCAGTGGAACAAATCAGTAGCAATAGTCTCTCATGCCTCATCTGTTCTCTTATGCTGAAGCAGAAGATGGGGCCTGGATCAGTTTTTCATTTGCACATCTATTCTGGGAATAAATAATTTATTATGTAGAAAGCATAGTTTCAGCATGCAAATGTGTTCACGTCCCTTGGTGGGACAGATTCTTTGTCTTATTGAGACAATCAAAGTAAGGAAGTTCATGGTCTCATGTTGGTTGCTGTAAATTCCCATAGCTCTGACATCTTGAGGACATAGCTAATACAACTGATTGCAGTTAAATTGTTCATCATTATCCTAATGCAGATTGTAGACAAGATTGGAAGGAGACACATCCAGAAAGTAAAGATTAGAGTACACCAAGTCCCAGTGAGTAATCAGCACTCACTGGAAGCTTCCAGGAGGCCCATGGTATCTCACTGAAACTTAGTGAATCCATTTGGTGCACATAACTGACCATGTCTTTTTGCCCCCACTTCTTTAGACTAGTTGCTTCCACAGGAAATTGTAAAATCCCGAAGAAATTTCTATCTACTGTTAAAATAAGAAATGTACCTGGAAAAATTTTGGAACTTTTCCAAATTGAAGCCACTTGAGAATAGGATTCATGAGAATATTAAGACCCTGCTGGAGAAAAGGAAGATTCAAAAAAGAAGAAAAATGTATCTGTATCACTGTTCCAAAGGACAGTCGTATAGCTGGGTATGTATGGTTAAAACAGGCAAAAATACTAACCTGAATTAATGCAAGGACTTTTAAAAACTGTTTAGTGCTTATTTTCCCCGTTTTTCTATAATGTAGAAGTACCTGAAAATGTGAATGAAATAGAAGTTAATGGGAGCCAAAACATGGGACGGAAGGAAGGAAGACATGAGGTTGTAGAATCCTAGAATGAGTCAGGTTGGAAGGGCCGGGTTGCACAGGGCACCTTCAAGGATGGAGACTGCGATGACCTTTCTGGGTCACCTGTTCCAATGCTTGAATGTCCTAACAGTGGAACCCTCACTTCAAGTTACCTTTGTTGTCTCTTCTCTTCCCACTGTGTGCCTCTGTGAAGAGCCTGGCTCTGTTTCCTCGATAATCTCCCCTGCCCTTTCATGGCAGGGATTGAAAAAGGAGAAGAACCTGCCAGTTGAGAACTTCTACGCTTCGCTGGTGTAGCAAGGCAGCCAACCTAAAGATGGGCATCACATTTGTCAGAAATTTACAGTTGTGCATACCCAGGTCCTATAGAAGGCATTAGGAGAGAGATTACAGATTTTAATGCAAGTTCCATGGCAGCAAAATATTTTTCATTCTCTAAATCAAAGCTTTGATCTTTGTAATGTTTAGGTTTTGTTTTAGCTCCAAGTAAAAATAAAGATACTTGAGTTATCAGGCATGTAACTACTAGTAGATTTTTTTGGAGCATGCATTAAAAGGGCAGTTCACTGGACTGAATAGCTAACATATATGGCAAAATAGTAAATTGCTGCATGCCTTTGTTCTGAAAGATGTGCAGGTGAGCACCTATATTTCCCAAATGTTTTGCATGCCCATAAAAGAGAATTTTGCCTTGACTTCAATGAGTACATTTTAAACTGATGTCAGTTTTGGCTTACATTTTTGAAATGTTGGAGTTGTTTCATCTTCAGTAAGCATGCTTGTCAGTTCCAAAATATACATACTTTTTTCCATAAATTTTCATTTTTGATTAAAAAGTAAATCTTTCATACTGCAATAACATGATAGAATTAAAAAAAAAAATGAAAATGCACAAATATGATATTAATTTATTCTGTTTTATCAAACTAAAGGGCAAATGAAGTTGATGGCCCATTTTGTAATTGATATATCGATTACAATTTTGCAAGAAGTGGTGGTTGGAATTCAGCAAAAATGATTGAGGTGGTACAAATGCTTATAAATCTGTCCCACATTGTTCTTGTTCTTTAATTGTAATTGTCTGATAAAACTTCATCAGTTTCTGTAATTAACCTAATGGTCTAAATGAATTTCCAGATCACTGGTTATTCATTTCAATATAGAAAATGCCATTACATTGAGTTTAATTAATACAAAGTAAGTTCACAGGCCATTGTATCATTAGAATAGAATTTTACTGGTTTAACTGTTTCAATTATGAATATTTTTTCCTCTTGTTTGTCCCATTTATGGACCTGAATGTTCATTCTCTATGTATACTAAAGT